GTTCTTATGTTGAGGGGTAGAGAGCTGATGATGCTCCTCTCACAGCCCTGCCTGAGATGGTGGGAAATACATCGTTCCCTCCGCAAAGAGACTCCAGGTACCTGGCCCCAGCAAGTGCTTCATTTTGCCTTGGAAGGATACTGAGCATGTAATCCTGGTGAATACACATGTGCTGTGCCTTGAGGAGTAAAGCACTGGTGACTGTGTGAGTTCCTTTCTGAGGAGTACCCTGCACAGGGTGCTGCAGGAATGACAGCTCCTCCCCAAGAAGCATGGCACTGGTGAATACTGCAGCTTCTCTCCAAGGAATGCTGAGCACACAGGTTAATGGCAAGCACATGGACTCCTCCTTGATGGAAATTAGTGCCAGAGTGTGTGTGAACTCCTTCCTGAGGCATGCCAAGGAGGAAAGGGCCAGGGAAGGATCTGGGCTCCTCGCTGGAGAATACCCTGTATGCACAGCATTGATGGGTGAGTCAGCTTCTTGCCCACAATGCTGCCAGTCGTATTCTCTCCTCTCTGAATAATTCAGAGCTGGTGAATGCACCATTTTATGCTGGAGGAATGATTAATGTTTGGAGCATTGGCTAACGTCATCTGCTCTGAAATATAGACTGGAGACAACCTTAGCTCTTCAGCAAACAAAACACTGGGGAATGCACGAGCTTCTCTCTGATAAATGGCATGCACACACAGTGCTGAGCTACTCCTCTTGGAGTGATCCTGAGTGTCTGCAATTGGGGAATGTTGTCACTCCTCTCTCAATAAACTTGAATTTCCTTTCTCTTCTCTAATAGCAATGTGGCTGCCTATGTACTGTAATTGTGTTGGCAAAACATATGGCCTTAGTAAAAGGAAACTCAACACTGTCTCTTACTAGAAAGAAATGGGGCAGCTTGGCCATACCTCAGTGCGGCAGCTGTAGTGAAATGCCACTAATTACATTCTTGAAGAGCAATTACCTGCACAGAGCCATTTCCTGTTCATCTGTCTGTAAAGCATAAATTTATGTTGTTTCCCTAACTCACACAGAGAGAGATGATGGTTCTCCACACTCATGAAGAATTTATTAGCTCTTTAGCTTCTACATTGGCTGTTTCTTTGAAAAATGCACAGATGGATGAAGCATCTTTCTGGGACATAACTACTGTATTTACTCCACGCCCATTAGGGTTAGGGTCCTGAATGGAGGGGATAGGCACGAACCAGTCCTTCTGGGGTATGTCTGCATTGCAGCTGAGAGGTGAGATTCCCAGTGCAGGTAGACAGACTCCTGCTAGTCTCACTCAAGCTAGCACCCTGAAAATAGCAGCATGGACATTAAAGCATGGGCAGAGTCGCGGGCTACCCACCCTAGTCAAAGCCTGGCCAACCTTCGGGTACAGGCTCAGGTGGCTAGGTGACCAGATGTCTCAATTTTATAGGGACAGTCCTGATATTTGGGGCTTTTTTTAATATGGGCTCCTATTACCCCCCATCCCTATCCCGATTTTTCACACTTGCTATCTGGCCACCCTAGGCTAGCCTGAGCTGCTGCCTGTGCCGCACTGTCCACACTGCTGTTTTTTGCGCACTAGCGAGAAGTTGTCTACCCATGCTGGGAATGACATCTCCCCGCTGCAGTGTAGACACACCCTTAGAAATTCTGAAACAGTGGAATGAGAGAACACTGTATGAGTTTGAATCGGACACTGATATGGCAACTAAATGGACCCTGAGAGAGCCAATGGGGAGGCCTTGAAAGTTGAGCTGGAGGATGTAATCCTGAATCTTGAAAACAGAAGCTTGTAATGGACTGAAACCTTGGTTTGAAGCTCAGATGGAAAAATCAGAGGTAATGAAGCTGTTGTCCTCGTCTCATTTGTTGCAGAAGTTGGAATGTGCATAGAAAATGAGGCAGGGGATGGTATGAGACATGATAGTCTCAGGGTTAAGGCAACTGAATACCGTCCTGGAAAACTGGATTCCATCCCTGCCTCTGCCCCAGAGTTTGTGTAATGCTGGGCAAGTCACTTAAGCCAGAACTCTCAGATGGTCACTAACTGTCTTTTCTCATTTTCTGGCTCCCCAGTGTGAGATACAAGGGGCCAGGTTTGTAGAAGTGCTGAGCACTCACAACTGCAAGGGAATTCAATTTGAGCTGTGTTTTGAACATATGAAGTGCAATTAAATGCAAAATACAATGAACAACCAGGCCTTGGGTCTCAGTTTGGCACCCAGAATTAGTGGACTCCTTTGATAATTTTGACTTTAAATCTGTGGTTCCATTCCCCAGCTGTAAAATGGGGATAATACCACCACCTAAGTCTGATATGGCGACCCACCCGATCCCAGCCACCTGGGAAAAGGGGAAGGAGAAGACGATGACAACCTAAGCTCACAGGGGTGTTGTGAAGATAAATTCTTTAATATTTGTGAAACACATGGGCCTGGATGCACAAACAGAGTTAGATGTTGACACAGACCCATCACGGTGCTTAGTTTTTAGACACCTAGAAAAATACTGTGATTCACAAAGCTTGAGTTTGGTGCCGAGACTCCTATCCAACACCTGGGGAGAGAGAGAGACACCTTATAGTGCAATTCACAGAAGTCAGTAGGCTAGGCAGTGAGCCGCCTAAGCTACTGGGTGGGAGCTGGTGACCAGAGAGGGGGTGTTAAGCACTACTCCTCTCATGGAGATAGGTGGCTCCCTGCAGCCTGGACTTAGGTGCCTATCTATGCTAGGAATTCCCAGGTGTGAGCCCTCCCCTGGAGTTAGGTGCCTATGGCACCTGAGGTGGAGAAGGGATTTGAACAGGGATCTGTCACACTCCGGGGAGTGCTCAAGCCATGGGGCTATGGAATATTCTGATGTGGGGACTCCCTCAGTCTCTCCTGTTGAAGCTGCTGCACTGATTTAATCCTGAGGCCAAGTGTACCAAATTGCACCAGTACAACGAGACAAGGCAGATGACCCAGCTCTGCCCAGCCTGAGAGACATAGGTGCCGACTCCATGGATGCTCTGGGGCTGGAGCACCCACGAAAAAATTAGTGGGTGCTCAGCACCCACCGGCGGCCCCACCATCAGCTCCTTCCCACTCCCCTCCCCCCCCCAGCAACCCTGCCCATTGCAGATCAGCTGTTCAGGGGCGGGCAGGAGGTGCTGGGGGAGAGGGGGAGCAAGAGGTGGGCTGGGGCAGAGTGGGGGTGGGAAGAGGCATTTGCTGGGCATGCTTTATTGAAACTAACCTGAAAGGCTTCACTGGGGAGGAAGAGTCCTCAAACATTTAAAGGGACAGGATGTCACACCAAGGTCTCTGTATTCCAAAACTTGTTCAACACTCTTTAATGTTGGAGAGTGACGCAGTCATATTAACACCTTTGACTCTTTGGGCCCTTTATTCCAGCTACATTAATACAACAGGGCTCAGGCATACACTTTTATCAAGAACTTTAATCCACTCCTTTGTTCAGCAGTTCCGGTTTCTCCTATCAAGAGCCACCTGCTAACATTGCTCCCTCTCTGACTGAACTCTGTATTCTTCAGCCATGCAGAAGCTTCCCCTCTGCACAGGTAGTAAACCCTTTCAGTGAACATATCAGTCTTGGAACTGTATGGATCAAGCCCTTCCAAAATTCATTTATTTCAACTCAGTTTATGGTTCTTCCAGCTCCTGGCTATATTAAATATTTCAGTGTAACGATACCCCAAATTGTGGGACCTTTATCCTCTTCCTTATTCATTCCCAGCTCTACTGGTAACGGTTAGTGAGGGGGGCTGGAGAGCTTTTTATCTGATCAGAGTGTATTACCATCACAAAGATGAGCATTCTCCCTAAGGCCTCCTTTTTCAAACAGTGCAGAACCCTGAATAGCTGCCCCATTGAAAGGGAAGATCACTTTAGGACAGACAACTTTTGAGGACCCTGGGAGAAGAGGGGATGGTAAAACAGTGAGCTTGGCTGTCTAAGTGCGTGGTTGTATAATTTAGCAGCTCTGGGATGAGCAGTACGTGATTTGGTCAACACTGGCATAGTGAGGTGGGGTTGATTGAGTGCAGTCAGGGGCACAGATTGTTGCCTGTGGCAAAATGTGATCAGCATGTGCTGTGCTGCAGCCCAGGTTTGTGAGAGCAGAGTACAAACCTTTGCTATTGACAAACGCTGCTCACATAAACCCAGTAATTTCCTCAGGCCTCGGGAAGGCGAATTTAACTGAAACATCAGCTGCTAATCGGAGATATGAAGGAGTTTGTCAGACCAAATATCTAAATGAGAGAGTGCAATTAATTTGGCCTTATGTTTCATAAGCTTTTGTCACCAAGTGCAGGATTTCTCTCGCTGAATATAACTCTTTGAATTCCTTGTTTAGAGAGTTGCCTGTACCCATTCACTATGAAAGCAGGAAGCTACAAACAGGAATGAATAGGGGTTTCTGGTTCTGCAATTTCTTATTGTTGTTGCTTCAATTTTGATTGTTGAGAATGCCCCTAGAGATTAGGAGGAAGCATGCTTTAGCAGTACTGCAGCCAGCCAAAATAACAATTAGCCCCTGGGGCTTTAGTCAATCCTTAGGTTCCACCCAGTAAGTTGTGTTATGTGCCCCGGTTGGCAGAAAATCTGGGACTAGTGCAAGTCACACACAACCCCCTTTGCCGAGAGACCAGGAGCCAGTTAGTGTCGCCAAGCAAATGGGAGGGCAGTTGGAGAGGTAGTATGGACGAGAGCACCCAAGAAATGCACTTCAGCACATTCTCTGATCAAGCTTTGAAGATGAGTCTCCAAGAGAACTCAGGCCATGAATTAAAGCTGCCCACCCTCTGTGGAGCTCCCTGGGGAGTGCAGTGGTACAAAACTTGCCTGCCCTCCCTTAAATGCCTCTGTTGGCTCAGCAACGTCCCGCCTGTGAGGTTTGTTACATACTACTGACGAGCAGCCACTCTCACATTAAAAGGACATCTGGTGATTGTATTGCTCTCCAAATGCATAACCACATTGTGCTCCCTCCCTGCACTTACCATCACTGCTGACCTCTTCCTCAGCATGTATGCGCCACTCCACATCCGCTGACTCCAGCAAGTCTGCTTGTGAGATCTCTATGATCTGCAGTTTCCGCAGACTCACCAGGTCTATCTCTCTTAACCCTGTTTCCAGTTGTTTCACCATGTCTTTGCCTGGCTGACTAGTCAAAACTGTAATCTGAAATAGAAGGCACAGATCTAATGCAGTAGCTACCTCCAACTGCCAGGACTGCCAGAGATATCACACCCAGCTGCTGTTTAGCAGAATACAGTAGCTAGGGAAGCCCCTCTAGAACCCCTGCCCCCATACAGTGCAGGGAGCCCAAAGAGGCCCATGTGACACCATGCAAAGGTATGGTGCAGGGATCGCTATCATTAAGTGCTGATGTAACCTCGTTTTGCAAAATGGCGCTGTTGCCAATTCTTGTGATTTGATTGTGAGTCGGTGAGAGATGGTGTATTTCCTAAACATCAACTCCTGAAGTCAGGTGATTACATGAACATCTCTGCTTTCACTTAAAAAAAAAATCCAGTCCTCATGGTTGTGGAGAAAAGCTTGAAAACGTTATGTGAGTGTACTCGGAAGGCTCAAAAATAGAGAAGATATACAGAAAGAGCTCAACATGTATTACTTTAAAAGGATTTTTAAGGCAATCTTGGTTTTCATGGAGCCTGACTCATGATTTTGGAATGGCTGGAGTTGTCAGTACTGAAATGGTTTCTATATGAAGTTACTGTCCCTTTGTGATGGTGTATGCAAACCCCAAACTGGCCCAGACAAGCAGGGCTAGCTCCAGGCACCAGACAAGAAAGCACGTGCTTGGGGCGGCATTCCGGCCAATCTTGGGACGGCCAGCCCAGCCCTGCAGGGGCACAGACCCTGGCCACGGACCCCGGCCAGGCTCCCCGGAACACACCACTCCCCGCCGCCTGCACCGGCCTCCGCCTCCTGCGCCGCTCTGAGTCCGGCCGAGCCGCCTTTAAAGGAGCGGCTGAGCCAGCACCTCCTGCAGCCCCCGGGGGCTCCGCCTGCCCGGCCGGGAGAGACACCCCAAGGCCAGAGGGGGGAGCCCCTCTCACTCGGCTGCAAGCGGGCTGCAGCGCCTGGCTGCCCATGGGCGGAGGGAGTGGACGGGTGCCGCCCTTCACCCCCCTGCGAGCCGCCTTGACTGCCCTCCACGCGCTCCCTGCAGCTGCCGTTTTTTTGGGGGTTTTTTTGCTTTGGCAGTCTGTCCGCCCTTTTTTTTTTTTGCCTGGGGCGGCAAAAAAGCTAGAGCCGGCCCTGCAGACAAGTTTGAAGGACAGTACTGGGCCCAGGGAGCCCTGCCAAGCATGCTTCAGCTGGAGACAGGGTTGAAAAGGGAGCAGCCCAGCTCAGAAGGGAGGCTGGGAAGAGGACAGACCTACCCTGAAGGCTCCTGACAAAAGGGCTGGAGAAGCCTCCCTGAGGGAACAGGACTCTATGGTGAGCTGGGTTGGGGGCTGATGGTTTGGTTTCTTTTGCCTAGGGTTACCATACGTCCGGTTTTTCCCGGACATGTCCGGCTTTTTGGTAATCAAACCCCCGTCCAGGGGGAATTGCCAAAAAGCCGAACATGTCTGGGAAAAATACCGCCGGCCGGGCACTTCCCCTCTCGGGCTCCGGGGGCGCAGGGTCCAGAGGCATGGGGGCTGCCCGAAGCCGGTAGTGGTCGGGCAGCTCGGCGCTTACAGAGCCCAGGAGTTCAGGGAGCACAGCAGCCGCCGGAGCCCAGGAGGGGAAGTGCCCGGCCGGGGACGCAGGGTCCGGAGGCATGGGGGCTGCTGGCCTCACGGTTTGCCGGGCAGCCTCCAGACCCTGCGGCCCCGGCTGGGCGCTTCCCCTCCCGGGCTCCAGCTGCGCTTGGGAAGCGACGGCCGGGGGCGCAGGGTCTGGGGACAGCCCCGCAAACCATGAAGCCGGGGGTGCTCGGGCAGCCCTTTTCGCGTGGCTGGGAGGGAGGAGTGGGAATGTGGGGTACTCGGGGGGGGTGGAGTTAGGGCGGGGACTTTGGGGAAGGGGCGAAGTTGGGGCGGAGTTGGGTCGGGGCCGGGATGGGAAAGGGGCGGGGCCAGGGCTCTGTGGAGTGTCCTCTTTTTATTTTTTAAATATGGTAACCCTACTTTTGCCTCATCTGGGACCAGATGCTGAGGGAAGGAAGGAAGCAGTGGTAGGAAGTGATCCAGGGAGGGTAACTCAAAGGGTCCCCTCAGAGCCCAAATGCTGCTGATCCTTGTAGGGCCCCTGGGTTGGAGCCTGGTGGAGTGGGTGAGCCTGGGCTTCCCTACCCTGCCTCCCACCACTGGGTGGGCACTAACCTCTAGGCTGCCTAACCCACCAAGGACCCAATGGGAGTGGAAGTTCTGTTGGAGGAGAAGGTATTTGTAGGCATTTCTCTTTGTATTTGTAGAGGCCGGTAGGGGCAGTGTGCCGGGAGAGAAGCTGAGCCCTGATTAGGGGGAGGGGCTTCTCTGACTACAGGTCCTATAAAAGTAGCCAGCCAGTCAGGCAGCAGCATAGACAGCTGCAGTGTCACAGGAGCCAGTAAAGAGAGAGCTGTAAACAGGGGAGTTTGAGTGGGAGTTTGCAAGGGGAGTGTGAGGGGAAGACTAAGAGAGCCAGGCTAGTGAAGGGAGTGGGTAGTGGTCTGGCAGTGTTTTGGTGCTTGTTGGGGGTTTCTGTTGCTGTGGAGGGTGGTGGTTTGGTTTGGTTTGTGTTTCTCGGACTAACAGGACTTAGGTGAGAAGGCTATGACAGATACAGAGGCAGCAGTGGTAGTGACCCAAACAGTGGAAGACACAATGAAGATGACTGGATGTGGAAGCTACGGCATGTACATGATCCTGGAGGGGGTACCTGAAAAGAGTTTCGTCTGCATGAAGTGCCACCTGATAGAGCTGATGGAAGAAAAGATCCGAGGACTGGAGATGCAGATGGAAACTGTGGTTGAGTATAGAAGGGAGGGATAGCTCAGTGGTTTGAGCATTGGCCTGCTAAACCCAGGGTTGTTAGTTCAATCCTTGAGGGGGATCCATTTAGGGATCTGGGGCAAAATCAATACTTGGTCCTGCTAGTGAAGGCAGGGGGCTGGACTCAATGACCTTTCAAGGTCCCTTCTAGTTCTAGAAGATGGGATATCTCCATTAATTTATTTTATTTTTATTTATTTTATTTTAAGGGGGTTCAAGTGGATGATGGAGCAAAGACATGAGGAGGCTGAAGGGAAAAGCTCAGACTTGGAAATAGAAGCAGGACCAAAGAACTCTGAGGGGAGTCTGCTGGATGAGGAAAGTGGACAGTGGAAGCATATGACTAAGACAACCAGGCAGAGGAAAAGACGGGCTAGTGAAGGAGAAATAGAGCTCAGGAACAGGTTTGCGGAGTTGGAAAATGAAGAAGGGGCACAGCAGGTGGTCACTGAAGGTGAGAGGGCAAGGAAGAAGAGAAGAGAAGCTAGTCCTATAGGAAGGGGGGAAGAGTCAGTGGAGATAACAACACCAAATATGAGCCCCAGGAGAATACGGGATGGGTTGCAGAGGATTGCAAGGGACAATAGGAATCAAGAGGACTTGCAGCCAGAGGGAACGAGGATAGACCGGAGAATCGCACCATCACCAGGAAAAGGCAGGTCTATGTGATTGGGGACTCCTTACTGAGAAGAATAGACAGGCCTGTAACTAAAGCTGATCCAGAGAATAGAAGGGTGTGCTGTCTGCCTGGTGCTAAGATACAGGATGTGGACTTGAGGCCGAAAAGGATCCTAACGGGAGCGGGAAAGAATCCGCTGATTGTCCTTCATGTGGGAACAAATGATATGGCTAGATTCTCGCTGGAGACTATGACAGACTGGGGAAGACGCTTAAGGAAATCGAGGATCAGGTGATCTTCAGTGGGATTCTGCCTGTTCCTAGAGAAGGGCGACAAAGGTGTGACAAGATTATGATGATCAACAGATGGCTCAGGCAGTGGTGCTATAAGGAGGGCTTTGGGATGTATGGCCACAGGGAAGCATTCATGGTCAGAGGACTGTTCTCTCGGGATGGACTTCACCTGAGTAGGGAGGGAAATAGACTTCTAGGATGGAGGCTGGCACAACTGATTAAGAGAGCTTTAAATTAGGAATTTGGGGGAGATGGTTGGGAGATGTCCAGGTAATCTCCACGCTGGATTTTAACATTGAGAGGGAAGAAAACGAAGTAAGAAAGGATACAGCAGTGGATAGGAGAAAGGACATAAGGAGGAAGAGTAGTGTAGATACCAGTTTAGTAGGTGATACTGGTGACAGAATGTCTGTGCCTAATTGGGTAAAGAAAGTGAGAGAAGCCAAACAGCAAAAATTAAGATGTTTGTAAACTAATGCGAGGAGCCTAGGTAACAAAATGGAGGAACTAGAGCTATTGGTGCAGGAAGTGAAACCAGAAATTATAGGGATAACAGAAACATGGTGGAATAGTAGTCATGATGGAATTAAAACCAATAGTAAAAGGTTCTATAGCCATATAAATAAGAAGAAAACAAAGAAAGAAGAAGTCGGACTATTAAACACTGAGGATGGAGTGGAGATTAAGGATAATTTAGGCATGGCCCAATATCTAAACAAATAGCCTCAGTCTTTAATGAGGCTAATGAGGAGCTTAGGGATAATGGTAGGATGACAAATGGGAATGAAGATATGGAGGTAGATATTACCACATCCGAGGTAGAAGCCAAACTCGAACAGCTTAATGGGACTAAATCGGGGGCCCCAGCTTATCTTCATCCAAGAATATTAAAGGAACTGGCACATGAAATTGCAAGCCCATTAGCAAGAATTTTTAATGAATCTGTAAACTCAGGGGTTGTACCGTATGACTGGAGAATTGCTAACATAGTTCCTATTTTTAAGAAAGAGAAAAAAGTGATCCGGGTAACTACAGGCCTGTTAGTTTGATATCTGTAGTATGCAAGGTCTTGGAAAAAATTGAAGGAGAAAGTAGTTAAGGACATTGAGGTCAATGGTAATTGGGACAAAATACAACATGGTTTACAAAAGGTAGATCGTGCCAAACCAACCTGATCTCCTTCTTTGAGAAGGTAACAGATTTTTTAGACAAAGGAAACGCAGTGTATCTAATTTACCTTGATTTAAGTAAGGCATTTGATACGGTTCCACATGGGGAATTATTAGCTAAATTGGAAAAGATGGGAATCAATATGAAAATTGAAAGGTGGATAAGGAACTGGTTAAAGGGGTGACTACAGCGGGTCATACCGAAAGGTGAACTGTCAGGCTGGAAGGAGGTTACTAGTGGAGTTCCTCAGGGATCGGTTTTGGGACCAATCTTATTTAATCTTTTTATTACTGACCTTGGCACAAAAAGTGGGAATGTGCTAATAAAGTTTGAGGATGACACAAAGCTGGGAGGTATTGCCAATACAGAGAGGGACCAGGATATCCTACAGGAAGATTTGGATGACCTTGTAAACAGGAGTAATAGTACTAGGATGAAATTTAATAGTGAAAAGTGCAAGGTCATGCATTTAGGGATTACTAACAAGAATTTTTGTTATAAACTGGGGACGCATGCCACGCATCACTTGGAAGTAACAGAGGAGGAGAAGGACCTCGGAGTATTGGTTGATCACAGGATGACTATGAGCTGCCAATGTGATATGGCTGTGAAAAAAGCTAATGCGGGCTTAGGGTTAGGAGTGGTACCTGAGGCAGTGAATGGGAAGACTGCTGAAGGAAAGACTTTGATATACCCTGGAAGGGGGAATGTTGAGTGACCTGGCCAGAAGGCAGAGTCATGAAGAGGATGCTGCGGGTCCTGGGATGAGAGAGGAGATGCAGGCCTGAGAGAGAGAAGGCATAATGGCATGCGACCATGGGAAGGGGTGTTGGCCTCGAGAGCTAATCCCTATAGTGAGCAGGAGGAGGCACCAGCCAAGTGGTGAGTGGTGCACCCCATCACAAGTCCCCTTTGGTTCTCAAGTGGGCAGTCTTCCCCTGGCAAATAGTGATTCTCTCCCACCCCCTCCCCCACATACCTCCCAAAGGATTATGGACATATCTGGATGGACTTTTAAGAGGATGCAAAGTCCATTCCTCTGGCCCCAGTCTTATCTCACTATTTGAGATTCATGCTCCAACCCATGGAGATGCTAGAGCTGTTCCAGTAAATGGTAGGAAATTTTGTTGCCATTGGCAAAACTACCTGTTTTTCACTAGCCTTGTTCTTGGAAACAGATTAATTGTTTTTGCTCTAATGTTTTTAAAACAAAACAAAACAAAAAAGAACAACCTGAGCCAGAGCTGAAACCGAGTCTATTTCAGCCCAAACAGTTAGTTTGCCAAACGGAGACAAAATTAAAAGTTAGGTTATAATGGAAGGTATATATGCAACTGTAGCCCACACACCTCCTGAGTGTGATGTTCTATCCCCTCTAATGGCACCGAGACCACTTAGAGATGAATGAATCTGCTCTACAGCCTTAGCTGAGAGGCAGCTGGCTTTTAGCTCATGCAGTAGAGCAGTGGCTCTCAAACCTTTTTTTACTGGTGACCCCTTTCACATAGCAAGCCTCTGAGTGCGACCTCCCTTATAAATTAAAACTACTTTTTTATATATTTAACACCATTATAAATGCTGGAGCAAAGCAGGGTTTGGGGTGGAGGCTGACAGCTCATGACCCCCCATGTAATAACCTTGCGACCCCCTGAGGGGTCTGGATTCCCAGTTTGATAACCCCTGCAGTAGAGGCTCCTGCATTTAGCTCCTGAGGTCCCAGGTTCAATCCCATTTGCTAACAACCAGGGTTTGTCAGCATTATACAACTTTAATATAGGTATCACTGCTATTGACCTCTAAAAATACAAGCTTAACTTTTCAACTGAATAGTGATTTTTGGGTGTTAACTTGAGATACCTTAAAAATAGAGGGCTCTTTAACCTGGCAGAAAAGAGCAGTACAAGATCAAATCCCTGGAAGCTGACACTAGGAAAATTCAGAGTAGAAATAAAGTTAAATTCAACAGTGAGGGGAATTAACTATTAGAACAATTTGTGTTGGGGTCTGGTGGATTCCTCATCAAATGAGGTGTTTAAACCAACTCTGGATATCTTTCTAAATGTGGGTTTGAAGCAGGAATCACTTGGTGAAATCAAGTCCATGGTCCGTTATGCAGGAAGCTAGACAAGAGATCCCTTCTGGTTTTATAATCTCTGAATTTATGAAAAAGAACCTGATTTTCAGAAGTACTTAGCAGCTGCCCTCTGGGGGGAAGGATAGCTCAGTGGTTTGAGCACTGGCTTACTAAACCCAGGGTTATGAGCTCAATCCTTGAGGGGGCCACTTAGAGGGATCTCAGGCAAAATCAGTACTTGGTCCTGCTAGTGAAGGTAGGGGGCTAGACTCAATGACCTTTCAGGGTCCCTTCCAGCTCTATGAGATAGGCATATATTTATATTAAAATTAGGTCTTTTTAGGATGTCTCAAGTTGGGCATTCAAAAACTGAGACATAGTCAATAATTACTTTTGAAAACTTAGGCCACAGTCCTTTTACAGTCTTATACACATGGATAGCCTTTGTACTATGGTGTGTGCCAGAAAAACCGAAACCAGAAATCCCCTGTAAAAATTGCACAGTAATGTGTGCTTGTACAACACATTATGGACTAATTTTAACAAACCAGAGGAACAGGGAAAATCTAGTGGAATATATGCCACCTACATCTGTAGATCATTTAATATTGTAGTTAACTGTCCCATTCCCTCAGCTGCAATGGAAGATTGTGCTGTGCATGTATTTGCAGTTAAATTAATTAGAGAAGGTAATTGTATCATCTCCTGAATTACACCTACTCTGTATTGCCCTCCAACACTGAAATAAACACCCCCAAATCAGAATCACAATGGTCAGAAATTAAAAGCCATCACTTATTTCCCTCCTCCCAGCCAAATCCCTCTACCATTTCATCACCAAGTGGGGGTGGGTGGGGAAGTAGGAGGGGGAAGAAAGCAAAATTATGTAAGAATGAAAAACAACCTACACATCTGCATCTAAGGATAGAAAAAATGTATATTATATGGCATTATTAGAGAAATAATATTTACAATGCCATTATATAAATCAATGGGATAGCCTCTCCTTGGATCATGTGTTCAGTTCTGGTGACTGCATCTCAAAAAGAATATAACAGAAATAGAAGGGATTCAGAGATGGGAGATTATGTTTAGATGCTTCAACAATCTTTCATATAGTGAGAGAGTGAAAAGACGGGGGCTGTTTACTTTAGAGAGGCAATGAATAAGAGGGGACACAATAGATGCAAAATGGTAGATGATCTGTGTTTGGGTGCATGGGACAAGGATTCCTACGGAAGTCTCAAGCTGCTGCTGAGAGAATTAATTGCTGACTATAAAGTTTCTCTGTTTTCCAGATACTGATCCTATTTGCTTTTTGTACTGAAAATTAATTTAAAGATTGTGCTAAAATAATGATCTTTTTGTAGGCTTTTCCTGTTCTTTGCTACTGTGCCAACTAATCCCACAATAAAATGCTTTTCCATTTGAATTGATGTTTTAATGAACTGTGAACATACTTTAAGCCACAACTAGGATCTTTGCACAAATGTCCCATTGACGTTAGTGGAAATTCCATCCAGGGAATATAGGCAGAACATGACCCTAGAATGTAAGTGTAGGCCGGCAGGGAAGTCATATCAAAAAGTATCTTGTATGCAGAGACACACAGTGTGTTTCACTATGATCTCATAAGAAATAAAATCAACTTTAAATAATATCCAGTCTTGGATGCCTGGAGATTAACTGTGTACAAAATGGAAAGTTAAAATAATCAGCTAATGCTTGTCATCAAGTTGTCTTCCCTCTCACAGCTAGGGCCATATTCCATGAGTGACTTGAATCTGTATAAAGCAACAGCGGGTCCTGTGGCACCTTTAAGACTAACGGAAGTATTGGAGCATAAGCTTTCGTGGGTGAATGCCCACTTCATCAGACGCATTCACTTACGAAAGCTTATGCTCCAATACTTCTGTTAGTCTTAAAGGTGCCACAGGACCCTCTGTTGCTTTTTACAGATTCAGACTAACACGGCCACCCCTCTGATACTTGAATCTGTATTTGGCATGAGATCTTGGGCATCCTGCAGAGCAAGCTATGGGATTCCTTTTTTTTGGAATTGTTTTATGCTACTTACTTCCTCTCATGATGCTTAGCTACCACAGTGACTGAAACCTGAAATATACAGATGGACTGCACTCGATGGTTATTACTATCTCCCCAGCACTCTACTTACCTCAACAGAACTGTTCACTGAGCCTCCTGCTAGCATATGTCTGGTGTACTGTATAAACTGCTGGAGCCCATCCTGCACAGCCTGTATCACTCTGTCTCCCTTTTGTTGGAAAGAGCCTTCTCTTGGTAAGGAGCGAAGTTCTGAAATGCAGGTCTGAAGCCGAGGAAAGCTCCCTTTTACTTGCTGCAAAACAGTATTCAATTAAATTAAAGAGAGGACATTTAAAATGGAATAACAATTATTTTTCACACAATTCAGTTTGGTTGTAGAACACATTGCCCGAAGATTACAGGGTTCAAAAAGGATTGGACAGTGATATGGATCACAAGACTATCCAAAGTTGTATTGTAAAGATTTTTAAAAGAACAAGAGTTTTGGGAGGATTATAAACCCTCTTGCTTCAGGACATGAGTCAATTAGGGGCTAGGAAGAAGTTTTTTGTTTGTTTTTTCCCCTGTGGGCAGGTTATTCCATGGCTAACTGACTGCTGTGGCATTTCCTGAACCTTCCTTGGAGGCAGCTGGTAGTGGCTACTGTTGTAAACAGGATAGTGGACTAGATAGACCACTTGTCTAAATCAGTCTGTCGATCCATGTAGCGCCAGAGGCACAACTCACTAGTGCAGCTGCATCCCACTACAACTGCTTGTGTTTTGGCTCACGTACGGGTGATATATAAAGGATACAATGCTTAGTTACCAAGATGATAGGTTTCAGGGTAGCAGCCGTGTTAGTCTGTATCCTTAAAAAGAACAAATTTGTTAGTCTCTAAGGTGCCACAAGTACTCCTGTTCTTTTCAAGATGATAGCCATTTTATACGTTGTGTTTATCCATTCAGGGCGGTGGGTAAGCCTTGTGCTTGGGGGGCTAGCTCCCAGCCCGGCCCACCCCTAATACCCTCTTCTCCCCCGAAGCCCACAGCCCCCCACCCCGCAGCCCCAGGTCACCCAAGTGTCTCCAGCCTCAGAGCACCTGGTAAGTGGCGCATGGCTTCCTGGAAGAGGAGCAGCCTGCCTGGGCTGGGGCCAACTAGCTGCAGGAGGCGGGCTTGGGGCAGGACCATGCAAGGCTCTTTGGGGAGGCACAGCCTTCCCCAGCCTATTATACGCGCTGCTCATGTTCAAGGTTATCTAACACATGTACCAAATCGTGACCTTTTCCTAATGTAGACAGAAGTTAACAACTTTTGCCTCGATATAGCTGGTTGAGGTCAATCCCAGTAGGGAGTCCTAGAGTCTAGATTAGCATTTACAAATATGTCAATTAAACTACAATAGGAACAAAGTCTCCACTGTAGACATACCCAGTAAATGAATTGTAGTAAAATCTGGCCCATAGTATGTAAAAATTGCTGCTAAATGTACATTAAAGGAGCCAGCAAAAGTTGTTATTTACAGCAGTTTAAACTCCTAGACTCACTTTTGAATTTGGCCTTCAGTCTCTATTAGCCCATGGAACCAAATAGCAATCTGTTTTGGAAGCCACTGTGGAGTCAGGGACAATCATAGGACTGGAAGGGACCTTGAGAGGTCATCTCGTCCAGTGCCCTGCACTCATGGCAGGACTGAGTATTATCTAGACCAATAATAAAGTGCTTCTCCAGCTTTCTGAAGGTAAAGATAATTAACAATAAATATAGAGCTAGATTCTGATGCTACTCAAGCACTTTGAGGAGAGGAAAGTGATCAGACAGCATGGATTCACCAAGGGGAAGTTGTGCCTCACTAACCTAATTGCCTTCTATGACGAGATAACTGGCTCTGTGGATGAGGAGAAAGCAGTGGACGTGTTATTCCTTGACTTTAGCAAAGCTTTTGATACGGTCTCCCACAGTATTCTTGCCAGCAAGTTAAAGAAGTATGGGCTGGATGAATGGACTATACGGTGGATAGAAAGCTGGCTAGATCGTCGGGCTCAACAGGTAGTGATCAATGGCTTGATGTCTAGTTGGCAGCTGGTATCAAGTGGAGTGCCCCAAGGGTCTATCGTGGGGGCCTGTTTTGTTCAATATCTTCATTAATGATCTGGAGGATGGCGTGGATTGCATCCTCAGCAAGTTTGCAGATGACAGTAAGCTGGGAGGAGTGGTAGATACCTTGGAGGGTAGGGATAGGATACAGAGGGACCTAGACAAATTAGAGGATTGGGTCAAAAGAAATCTGATGAGGTTCAACAAGGACAAGTGCAGAGTCCTGCACTTAGGACGGAAGAATCCCATGCACTGCTACAGACTAGGGACCGAGTGGCGATGCAGCAGTTCTGCAGAAAAGGACCTAGGTTAACAGTGGACGAGAAGCTGGATATGAGTCAACAGTGTGTCCTTGTTGCCAAGAAAGCTAACAGCATTTTGGGCTGTATAAGTAGGGGCATTGCCAGCATATCGAGGGATGTGATCATTCCCCTCTGTTCGGCACTGGTGAGGCCTCATCTGGAGTACTGTGTCCAGTTTTGGGCCCCACACTACAGGAAGGATGTGGAAAAATTGGAATGAGTCCACTGGAGGGCAGCAAAAATGATTAGGGGGCTGGAACACATGATTTATGAGGAGAGGCTGCGGGAACTGGGATTATTTAGTCTGCAGCAGAGAAGAATGAGGGGGGATTTGATAGCTGCTTTCAACTACCTGAAGGTGGGTTCCAAAGAGGATGGATCTAGACTGTTCTCAGTGGTAGCAGATGACAGAACAAGGAGTAATGGTCTCAAGTTGCAGTGTGGGAGGTTTAGGTTGGATATTAGGAAAAACTTTTTCACTAGGAGGGTGGTGAAGCACTGGAATGGGTTACCTAGGGAGGTGGTGGAATCTCCTTCCTTAGAGGTTTTTAAGGTCAGGCTTGACAAAGCTCTGGCTAGGATATTTTAGATGGGGATTGGTCCTGCTTTGAGCAGGGGGTTGGATTAGATGACCTCCTGAGGTCCCTTCCAACCCTGATATTCTATAATTCTGTGATACCCAATGTGAGTAATGATACTCACTACTCAATCTGGGGAGTCTCCACTAATGTCAATGGGGTCCCTTGAGGAGTATGATGCTGCTCAGTATCGGTAAGTATCAGACTCTGGACCTAAATAACACTTCAAATTTTGGCAGAAAAAATTCCTTCTGCCCAGACCAAGTGGGTTTTTACTATAGACACATTTTAGAAGGAGATTCAGGAATTTGGAGAGTCCCAGTAAGCCTCTCCAGGCCCCAGTTTGAGAAACTCTGTTAAAAATTATTTTTTTGAACCTCTGCTTTGTTAAAAACCAGGTCAAAGCTTTATGCGCTCACTCCAAAGACCTTCTCTTGTAAAGTAAATTATGTTAAACTGCAATTATTGTGCTAGGGGCTTTAATCTGTAACGTTGTGCAGCTTTGGGTTAGTGGGCCCAGACTAGTGAATACCTAGAATGAACACTGGATTAGTTCCTAATCCCAAAGCTCTAAATCAAACAAAATACCATTGTATTTGTCCCCAATCTCCTGTTGTTCTTATTGGGAGACTTGAGTCTTTGACCTGCTTGGCATAATCATTTTCTAATTGGATTAAAGACATTTATGAACGCACAATTCCACATTTAGGTCCACAATACCATGTTTAAAGGGTACCCTATTCCAACACAGTACTTGTTTTCTAAATAAAGGAAGCAGCACTAATGCAAAGTGTATTCCCCAACTGTAGGGGAGGAAAGCTAAATGAGGCAGAGGCAATAAAAAGAACCTGGAAGCTAACTGACTGCAAGTTAGATGGGAAGTTAGAACGTAATAATGGCCATACTGGTTCAGACCAATGGTCCATCTAGCCTACTATCTTGTCTCTGACAGTGGCTGATGCCAGCTGCTTCAGAGGGAATGAACAGAAAAGGGTGGTTTTGAGTGATCCATCCTCTGTTGTCCAGTCCCAGCTTCTAGCAGTTGGTGATTTCAGGATACGGGGTATGTCCCTGTCCATCTTGGCTAATAGCCATTAATGGACCTATCCTCAATGAACTTATCTAATTATTTTTTTAACCCAGTTATACTTTTGGCATTCACAACATCCTCTGGTAATGAAGTCCACAGAGTGTGCATTGTGTGGAAAAAGTAGTTCTGTTTGTGTTAAACTGGCTGCCTATTGATTTCATAGGATGACTCCTAGTTCTTGTGTTATGTAAGCAGTAAATAACACTTACTTTCTCTATCATATTCCCTCCCCATCCCCAGTTATCTTTTTTTCTAAAATGAACTGTCCCAGTCTTTTTAATCTCTCCTTACATGGAACTCCTCCATACCCCTAATCACTTTTTTTGCCCTTCTCTGCACCTTTTCCAATTCTAATATATCTTTTCTGAGATGAGGCAACCAGAACTATATGCAGTATTCAAGGTTTGGGCATACAATGGATTTATATAGTGGAATTATGATATTTTCTGTTTTATCTATCCATTTCCTAATGATTCCTAACTTTCTGTTAGTTTGTTTTGACTGCCGTTGCAGGCTGAGCTGATGTTTTCATGGAGGATAGGTCCATCAATAGCTATTAGTCAGGATGGGCAGGGATGGTGTTCCTAGCCTCTGTTTGCCAGAAGTTGGGAATGGGTGACAAGGAATGGATCACTTAATGATTACCTGTTCTGTTAATTCCCTCTGGGACATCTGGCATTGGCCACTGTCGGACGACAGGATACTGGGCTAGATGGACCTTTGGTCTGACCCAATATGGCCGTTCTTATGTTCTTAACTAGCCACGATGACTCCAAAATCCTTCTTGAGTGCTAACAGCTAATTTATAACCCATCATTTTGTATGTATAGTAGGGATTATGTTTTCCAATGTGCATTACTTTGCACTTATCAACACTGAATTTCATCAGCCATTTTGTTGCCCAGTCACTCAGTGTAGTGAGATCCCTATGTAAGTCTTGCATTCAGGTTTGAACTTAACTATCTTGAGTAGTTTTGTATCGTCTGGAAATTGTGCCAACTCACTGTTCTCCCCCTTTCCCAGATCATTTATGAATATGTTGAACAGCAATGGTCCCAGTACAGATGCTTGGAGGACCCCGCTATTTATCTCTCTCCATTCTGAAAACTGACCATTTATTCCTGTCCTTTGTTTCCTGTCTTTTAACCAGTTACTGATATTCCCTTTTATCCCACGACAGCTTACTTTGCTTAAGAGACTTTGGTGTGGGACCTTGTCAAAGGCTTTCTGAAAGTCCAAGTACA